TGTCACAAGCCCTTAGCACTTTACCAGCTAAATGATGCTAAACTGCAAGTAGTTAGAACTGAAGTGTTTTCACTGACATCTTCTCACACTGGAAACTATCAAACTATTACCAAAACTTGTAGGTCTATCCAATCTGTCTAGAGTTACCTGGCTAATTTTAAAAGAAAGATTTTGTGTTAACTTTCAATCACAAACAATAAGATATTTGATGGAGTTTCTTTTAAATACAATTTTGGTTTCCTGGTCTTGTATAAATTTCAGAAATGCAAGCTATGACTTTCTTTAAAGTCAGAAGTATCTGATAATAAGTATGGTAGGTAGCCTGGCAGGTAGCTTGTATAGTCTGCTGATACTTATGCATAAATATGTGTATATATATTTGTACCATATGTAAGCTGTAGATGACTTCACCATTGCATAGAATAGAGTGAGTATTGTGAGTTCTCAGATTATGAGAAACAAAGTTGCTAAACATATTGTTTATCATAATCATACAATTTCAAGCTTAATATTTCTTAGACTGTTATATGTCTACAAAGAAGATCTAAATGATGAGGAAGTAGCCTGAGCAATTTAGTAGTTAAAGCCTTCTTTGTGAACTGATACTTCATCTGTGACCTATAATGGTGCTGGAGCATGACATGCTATGAATAAATCATTAAAACAAAGTCAGGCACCTTTGATCATTAAAAGATCTCACAGCACTGCTTACAATAGTACATGAAACGTTAAACTTGGCTTCTGAACAAGTTTTAAATTGGGTAATTTGAATCTGTTTGGGTAATTCAGATGGGGTAATATTCCATGTTATTTTTGTATCTACAAGATTATTAAAGGAGATCTTTCTTCACTTCTCTCCTAAACTGTAGAGTTTAGTATTGCTGGCAAGGATCAAAAAAATTCTCTTATATTTCCATAGTATATTAAAAGCACACTTATTTGGGCTCAGTTTATAAGTAAAGACTTCAAGATGAGATAAAAATTACACTTCTTTGTAGTCCATAACTTCATTCATGAATTTTACAAGCACATTAGTAAAAGCACTGAAGACACTTTTTGGTTTAAGGATAAAAATAATAATTGGGTAGCCTATTTTAGGTGTCCAGAATATTTATCTCATTCCTGTTAGGTATAGAATATACCAGGTATAAAATTTATTTAGTACAGATCTCTGTTCTGTCTGCCAGCTGTGTAGATTCAAGACGCTTATACCTCTCTTTGATAGCTTGTTCAGTATAATGGTCTCTGTAAGGTGGTTGCAGCAACAATTACTCATTTATAATTACTCAACTAAAAAAAATGGTAACAGAGGTGGGCTATCTTTACAATTTCAAGTATCTGAGTCAGACCTTTACAACCTGACCCCACTTTCATAATTCAGAATTACTCTAAGTCTTTTCTTAGGTGTGTGCAAAGGTATCTCTTTCCAGATCAGCTGAAACTGAAAGTGTCAACATATGCATTTTGGAAATGGGAAGATTTCTTCAATACTTTTGCCTTTTCGAGATGGTGGAAAGGTACAGCTCCCACATCCTGAGGCAGCCTTTTTCTCAAGGTGTGAAAATGCCAATACCTTCTGTTCAAAACTTCTGAACTTGGGCTGTTGGGAAGTCAAGACTGTTGTGGACAAAGGAAATGTAAAAACAGAAAAGGGAAGTTCCACAACTCAGTGAAATTGGGTATCCCAGAGGGAGGAGGGAACCATGTTCTTATTCTGCTTTGGGAACTTGGCCTGTCAAAAAATTAAGAACTGCGGCCACACCTAGGACGTGTTTCATGTAGTGGTCACACCTCTGTCACAGGAAGAGAGAACCAAGTCAGAATATCATCCCTTAAGTATCACTAGAAATGCAAACTGTACCTTATATGTTTTTAATACTTCCATTCTGTGTAAGTCACAACACAGATGGAATCTATGTGGTCTAAATGTTGCTGTTAGAGACTCTCTCAGAAGTGATAGGCTTAAGTGTTTTCTCAGTCATTGCAGCATATGCTATAAAAGTAATGCACGTAGCAATTCATCAGTTAATGCATATTTAGAGAAATAAACATTTTTAATGAAACTCCCATCGCTTAACTTTGCAACCTTACATCCAAAATGAAAGACATGTTTATGACACACTTGGCTATCTAATACAAATGACTGATGATGGAAAAGAAAGATCAAGTTTAAACTGAGGACTATTTCTGTATTCATCAGCTCATGATGAATAAGTGAAGCAATTATTAAGATTTTTAGTTAACCAGCAAAATGTTAATTGTATCACTCAGACACTGAATGACATGTTATAAGCATCTGTATTGAATTAGAGAACCAAATTCAGTTTGAAAGCTATGAATATTATATGCTGGCATCCAAACCAATGAAATATTACACTTTTCCATTTTGAACTGAAGCAATTCTTTGTTAAATTTCACTGCAGGAATCTATTCTTTAATCATTCACCAAGATAAGACTTATAATGTTTGAATATTAAATTTATGTGAAACACCGTAGTTTAGCTTATATAATACATCCTTGCCATTATTTCTTAAATGGCAACTGTAACTGCTAGACATGAGGAGCACTATGTTAACATTTTATTGAAAAATAACTTGTTTTGAATTCATCTTGATGAATGTACATAGAATGCATCTAGTTGGTGGAACTAGTGAGATTATAAAATAGCCATTTTTAGCAACATTGCAATATTTTTTTTCCCCCAATTTTATTGTTCTTAACAGTTAAGTAGATTTGGGAAAAGGAATGCTGGCATGTCCTGTTCTTTACTACAGAGAACATGAAAATTTTAAACTGTCTTGATATCAAATTCAGGTTGACTACAGAAGAAAAAAATGCAAAAACAAACAAACAAACAAACAAACAACTATGAGATAAATGAAGGGGAAAAAGAGCATAGAAATTGAATATGGGAAATGTGAAGAAAGGAAACACTAAGAGTGATGGCCCAGTTGGTGGTTTGGACTAAAAGATTAAAACTATGAAATTAAAAATGTAAAATAAAAGACAAAATTTGTGACAATACTTTGGGATGTATGAAATATCCCTTAGGCAAGCAGTAGTGCCCCAGGTATTTTGAACATTCATCAGTAATTGGGAAAAAAATATAAGGAAATTTATCATTAGAAATAATGCTTCCTGTCAGAGATGTACATAGAATTTAATAGTTCTTGTATGTGTCTTGTTTCTGTGATTTAAATCTCTCCATATTATAGCTAATGTTCATTTTTAACATCTTTGTGAAGCTATTACAATTTACTCTAAGTACCAAGACTTTCAAAAATAATTTCTCTGAACACAGTTGGTAGAACTGATGAGATAACTTTTCTCAAAAATGCTCTTCCATCATAACTAATCACCACACTTACTTTGAAGATACTCATAATCTAATCATAACATTATGAAAACATATTTATTCTACAGAGATTCAAAATTAAAGCTGTGTTATTTATATTTTTTCTCTCAACGATAATCACTTTTTTATTAGAAAAACTTTGCATATAAAAACAGAATTTAACATATTCAGCATATGTTAAAATGAGGATGAGGGGTATTCTTGTTTACACCTGAGAAAATTATAATAATCCTGTGCGTGACCTTCCAGGAGAAAATAAAGCTTAATTTACTACATATATTCTTTCTATAGTCTACTATAGTCTACTATAATAGTCTACTATAATATAGTATAATATAGTCTACTATTAATATATTATATAGTCTACTATTAATATACTATATTATACTAATATAGTATAATATAGTCTACTATAATATAGTATAATAGTCTACTATTCTTTCTAAGTCTACTCTAGTCTATTTTCTAGTTTTGTGTCTCACCTGAAAAGTAGTACATCCAGGCATATATTACCTTTTTTTTAATGTTGATAGTGGAGCACTGTTTCCATAAAGATTAATATTTAAATAAACAATTTAAGACAAAAGTAATACTTTGTGTTTTACTTTTTGCAGTGCATACATACATTGGCAAGACTAAAGGCAAGACTTCTAGTGCATTATGGATCACTTATGGTGCTTTACTTAATATCTGTGGTGTCTAATATCTCTTTATGTCACACCATATCATACAATTCTTCACATGTTAAAAGGACATCATGTTATTTCTGTAGTCCTCTGCTCTGGGTGAGCTATGGTTAAAAAGCAAACAATATGTAAGGTATTTCAGAAAGAGGATGGGCAAGGCTGTAGAGGATAGTCTATTGTCTCTGTGGAAACTGATGGATCTACATCAACTTATGTCATGCAGGGTCTTCCACAAGAAATAATAATATTTTTTTAAAAAAATGTTAAGAAATAACAAAGTTCAACAAGTTCACAGAATAGCAAAAAACTTGTCAAATATATGGAAAATTGCACTGAGGAGAGTCACTTAATAGTCTTAAAAAAAAAAAAAAAATCCATAGCATATAATTAAGAAAAAAATATGACCCAGCAAAGGAAATGAATAAGAAATTAAATCAATAACACCTATGGGATAAAAATAAAACATTATCAGATTAAAACAGACAAGTCCTTTCTCCTACAGCTTCCTCACAACATTTAGTACAGGTCAAAAGTAAGCTTTAGGACTAGATTTATTTGGGGTATTATCCAGATAAGTGATTCCTATATTTCATTGATCTGAGCAGGAAGTACAATATTTCACTCCTCAATTATAATGTATTGCCTCAAAAGATATAATAATACATTTTTGAAATGTAGTAGATTTCCATATCAGATATTTCTGGTTTGGTTAACCAGAAACAAGCTTTCTTGAGTGTTAGCAACACGGGTTGGATTCATACATAAAAGTAGTACTAAAAAAGCATTGTCTGGAATTTCTCTGAAACCTAGAAAAATGTAATACACGTACTTTTCCTAGTGTGCTAATTTCCTCAATTGAAATCCATTGTCTTAATAAACATTTTTTAACAGCATAAAAGGAAGAAAATTAAAAAAAATAAAGTCCTAACAAAGCCATAAACAGGGAAGCATACAATACCTAATTGTCATGCATTTCTAATTCCATGTCACAGTCTTCTTTGATGAGGCAGCTGCTAAGACAGCTGGTTCTTTCCCCCTTCCTGTGATAATACCTCACTCACACTTTGGGGCTGTCAAATCCTTGCAGATAGGAGATCCAATTTAAGCTGCTCTGCTTCTGTTAACCACTCCTTATCACTCCCCTCACTGCTCCTAATACTGGGGCCTGCCATGACTGACTATTTTAGCTTTGTTAACAGGTTTTGTTTTCAGCTATTAGTAAAAACACTCTAGGGATAATGCAGTCCCCTTCAATGTACGAGAGACTAACAAACAGCCTTTTCTGCTTTCCTTCTGTAGAAATCTCAAAGTTATCTGCTTTCTCTAATATTCTTTGCTCTTATTTTTTATTTTATTTATTTTTATTTTTTTATAGCAATACTAGTAACAGAATGCTTAGTGCATTCAGGACATTGCCCAGATGCATTCTGCATAGTTAGTTGCTTTTAAATCCTGTGCATAATTACAGTGAAAAAATATTCTCCGTTATATGATGTGACCATTTGGATAACAGAAATTGTCTTTCACAATATGACAACATATGTAAATAAACATATTTATTTACATATAGGCCACAACACTTGTCCCTTTGTTTGCCTTGCTGTTTTTGAATTTGAGATTTACTTCAGAAATTTAGTTATCCATGGGTCATTATCCAATTTCTTTCTTCTTTAGAAATTAAAGTAGAAATGAAACTGATCAAGAGAACAAAACCAAGGACATGTAATTCTTCCTAACTTAAAATAAGCAAAGTGTGTATGTGTTACTAAAATAGTGCAATCGCTGTTATTTCAACAAGTGAGGATGAGAAAGATGTGGAAATGTTTTGGAATCATCATTTACTATGTTAACCTTTATGTTACCAGTATCACCACTACATGGTTATATATAAATATTATAAATATAAATATATATATATATATAATATATAGCCATGTCCATTTCCAAGCCAGGGTATTTCTGACTTACAGCCCCATAATCAGAAATCATAATCAAATTATGTTTACAAATATTAAAAAATCAAATATATGCATATATTTGTGCTCATTAAATTGTGAATATAAACACTTAGATTTCTTTTAGATATGTGTTCATTAGGTCAGTGTTGCTATTCTATTTCTTTCTTCTGATCCTTTTCTGTTTCCATGCTCTGTTAACCAAATTCAAAAATATAAACTAACAAAGGCTTAAAGAAAAAACTTTTCTTTTTTTAAAAAGATTATTGTAATATATTAAAACTAAGACTGCTCATAGTTTTAATATATTACAATAATCTGTATTTTGATATTACAGAAACAGGTGAGAATTTTAGCAACATTTTTTTCTCAGAATGGGCAGCACCTGCAGTCTATAGGGGTTAATATACTTCAACTACAATGGGAAATATGTTGTAGATTGTTACCATCCTTGAGATGTAATTACAGCCTTTTGTATTATTATTTTTTTTTAATTTAGTACATTTCTAAAATCCATCTTGAAAGTCAGTCCAGCCGCAGATGGACCTGATGGGCCTGATCCAACATATCACAGAATCACAGAATTGTCTAGGTTGGAAGAGACCTCAAGATCATCGAGTCCAACCTCTGACCTAACGCTAACAGTCCCCCACTAAACCATATCCCTAAACTCTACATCTAAACGCCTTTTAAAGATTTCCAGGGATGGTGACTCCACCACCTCCCTAGGCAGCCTGTTCCAGTGCCTAACAAACCTTTCGGTAAAGAAGTTCTTCCTAACATCCAGCCTAAAACTCCCCTAGCGCAACTTTAGCCCATTCCTCCTCATCCTGTCACCAGGCACGTGGGAGAATAGACCAACCCCCACCTCGCTACAGCCTCCTTTAAGGTACCTGTAAAGAGCAATAAGGTCGCCCCTGACCCTACTTTTCTCCAGGCTGAACAAGCCCAGCCCTCAGCCGCTCCTCGTAGGATTTGTACTCCAGGCCCCTCACCAGCTTCGTTGCCCTTTTCTGGACCCGCTCAAGCACCTCGATGTCCTTCTTGTAGCGAGGGGCCCAAAACTGAACACAGTACTCGAGGTGTGACCTCATCAGAGCCAAGTACAGGGGGACAATCACCTCCCTAGCCCTGCTGGCCACACTGTTTCTTATGCAAGCCAGGATCCTGTTGGCCTTCTTGGCCACCTGAGCACACTGCTGGCTCATATTCAGCCGACTGTCCACCATCACTCCCAGGTCCTTCTCTGCCTGGCAGCTCTCCAACCACTCATCTCCCAGCCTGTAGCTCCCCTTGGGGTTATTGCGCCCCGGGTGCAGGACCCAGCACTTGGCCTTGTTGAACTTCATACAGTTGACCTCAGCCCATCGGTGCAGCCTATCCAGATCCTCCTGCAGAGACTTCCTACAATCAAGCAGATCGACACACGCACCTAACTTGGTGTCATCTGCAAACTTACTGAGGGTGCACTCAATGCCCTCATCCAGATCATCGATGAAGATATTAAAGAGGACCGACCCCAGCACCGAGCCCTGGGGAACGCCACTAGTGACTGGCCTCCAACTGGACTTGACTCCATTCACCACGACTCTTTGGGCCCAGCTATCCAGCCAGTTTCTAACCCAACGAAGCGTGTGCCTGTCCAAGTCAAGAGCAGCCAGTTTCTTGAGGATTTGTGGAAGAATGAAAATATAGCCCTTAGTGCATGGTTTAAAGATTAATTCAGGCAGGCTATTTCATATGGCAGAAATGCTAAGATATAAAGTGAAGCCAGCATAAATGTATTCAATATAGCCATCAGAGAAGGGAATAAATGGATTTAAATATGTTTAAACAAATGACAAAGGATAAGAGGAATTAATTGTGTCTGAGACACATTGACTCTGAAGGTACTTAGTGCAGTAGAGATAGGGAAGAATTCAAAGCTGAGGGGACCTTGTCCAACTCTGAATAAAAGCAACTGCAGACTGACCTACTCACACATTGTTCATGAATGTAGGAAAGCCTCTTATCGTTTGGTGAAAGATGTCTCCTCATCTTGTACAACAAAGACATGCTATACTCAATTAAAGAATTGATACTGTGAAATTAAATTATTAAATCCTTACCTATTCAAAGTGCTGAAAAAAATAGTTCTCACACAGGTCAGTAGCATCAGTTTCCTCTATTTAATTATTATTATTATTATTTTTAAGAAGGTTGTTTAAATTACATGATTGGGACCATTGTCAAGCTTCAATGAGTGGCAGAGGTGAAATCAGAATTTAGGGGTTCTAGTTTCCAAACTGTGGACCACACCACAAAATTATATCAAACCAAATCCTAGTTCCTGAAATTTTTTCTAACATTCATGGACACAATACAGTTCATCCTGTCCTGAACTGTGAATGTTTTACCATCCATTCTGCTGTACTGCTAGCAGTATTTTATCATAAGAAATCCTTCAATTTTTCCCTCAGCATGGGAGCAAAAGCCTATCCATCCAAGAGTTCACTTAATGGCAAGCTGAATGCCAAGGTGTGTTTTTCAGGGTAGCACAATATATATAAGGAGTCAAGAGAGAGCAGCTATGTGCTTCGGCTTGCTTCTCAGAAGGCTGGCCAGCTGTATGCCAGCATAATGTATGCATTGAGACAGCTGGACAAAGTATTTCAGAAACATGTGGAGACAACATATGTGTTGTTACAGGTCACTTGGTTACTCATGCTGTGGAACGCCTTGTAATTCCTGTACATAGACTCGTGCTCTGGACAAGTCCATAGTAGCTAGTGCCATGGAAAATTCAATGATAAGCAAGGATTCAGCTATGCTTTAATTTAATATTTAACAATATGCTGGGGAAATGGATAAGTAGGGCAGAAAAAGTTATAAAAAAAAAAAAAAGACCTGGCTGCCAGGTGTAATATGAGATGAATGAATAGTTTTGGTCTATGAGCTGTAAAATAAAATTTGGATATAGTTTATTTGCCTTATTTTATTTTATTTTATTTTATTTTATTTTATTTTATTTTATTTTATTTTATTTTAATTTTATTTTATTTTATTTTATTTTATTATTTTATTTTATTTTAATTTTTTTAATATTGATTTTTACTTTCAAAATTTTCATACCCATTTGTCCAACTGGTATTTTACAAAATACTATGGCCAGCTACCTTTCTGCAGTTATATATATATATATATATATTATATAATATTTATATATATATTCATATATATATAAATTATATATATATATATAAATTATAACTATATATTATTATATATCGTTATATATATATTACATATATATATATTGTAGCAATAATAGCATGAAAAGATATTTTTTTTCCAAGTGTGCCATTAATTTTACTTTAGCAGTCCATCTGTCACCTTACAAAATATGATGCCCTTTCGGTGTCAGCCAATCTTTTAATGAATATTCACAACAGAAATATTTTTCTATGCAGTAAAATTAACAATAAATATTTTAATATCTCATCCTTTCTCCTACTAGCTCCTCCTGTCTCCTCCATCTCCTCCTGGCTTGTTTCAGGAAGTTTCTAAAGTATACTAAAAAAATGTTTGAACTCAATATTCTACATGCATACACAAACATACACACACACCAAATGCATGTGAGATCACAACTCCACTCTTTATGAAAAATCAGAAACATAAGTTATTTCACGTCATGTAATTTTAAAAATCCTGAAAATAACACTCTGAAAAAGGAATGGGGATTCTGGTGTAAGAAAAAAAAAAAATGAGGCATCTTAAGTAGTTATCAACCCTTTTTTTTTTTTTCTTTTTTTTTTTTTTCCTAAATAAAGTGCAGAAAACAATATATTTACTAATTTTAATAATTAATATTTTAATTGCATTTCCATTTATTTATTGACACTTCTTCATATTTTTTCCAGACATTCTTCCCAATGTTTTTTCTGATCTATGATTATACTGGGTAGGTTGAAAAATATTTTTCTCCCTAAAGAGTATTTAATTTACAGTAATTGGTTTTGTTTGGTTTCTAGTCACATACTTTTTTCTTGGTTATTTCCCTCTGTCAGTTCTTCATCTTGCACTCAGCAGTGATATAATATTGTGCACTTCTAATCTTACATTTTGTTTATTTTGTTTCCA